TGGAAATTTTTGGTCTCTTAAAGTTGTTTTCTATTCCCGGAGTTATTTCTGTTTCTTTAGAGGTTAATTATTATTTTTTATTTATCTTGATACATCTCTTTTGTGCTGTAGATTTTCTAAATGTACGGGATTCCTTGGTTCTCCATTCATAAGAATGGGAAACTAAGTGGATTTTCCTGGATAGCTGATGAGGCTTTCCTGTGCTATGGGTCTTCCAGGAAAAAAGCAGGACAGCTGCCTGGAAGCTCTTTGTGTGGTAGACAAGCTTGTTGGTGTACTTTAGGATGACTGGGTGGAGGATTTGGGACATTTCACATAAGACTGGTTATATGGTGCTGGGTCTCCAGGAATGAGCAGGACTATTCTAAGTGGAAATGAGCTCAGAGTGCAGGCAGTGGAAGCAACATCTATACAACCCTGGATATGTGAAAGGCAATGGTATTCCCTAAAATTAAAGATTTTAAGTGGAGGAGGAACCTGGGCAACCTAGAAGGACTTAAGAAGAAATAGAAACAGACTGACTTCAGAAGCTCACCATGGATGAATATGTGGGGCCTATTAGGACCAGGTTAGACTAATTCAGGTGAGAGGTGTGGGTCCAGCCATAAGGCTGGAGAGTTTCAAACTGGAATTGATAGGGACTGCTCATTAGCAGGGAAGGGGGCAGGGAGGTAGTGAAGGTGGAAACTTAGGGAGGTGGAGAAGCACACAGAAAGGGCCAAATATACCTGAGAGATTAGTTTTCCCATTTGACTCCAAGGTGATTCAAGCAGAACATTCCCAAAGGGGTAGAAACTGAGGTCCATCACTATGCTATTGAGGGTCAATGTCTAGGTCAGACAAAGCCCCACATTTATGGTTCAGGGAAACACCTACTGAGCTACTTTACCAGAGACCGCAAAATATAGCCTGGCTAACTGGTAGGAACTTCCAGACTCGAGTCCTGGCTTCATTTCAGCAACTGGGGAAGTACAGATCCCAGCTTCTCTTTGGTGGGCTTTTGCTTTTTCCGGAAGATCCCAGGCTCCAGTTGTGCCTGACGCAGCACTCTGCTGCCACCAGGGGGTGCTGATTCCTTCCCCTGCAAACACAAAGGCTCTGACAGTCAGCTCCTGTAGTGTTGGTTTAACTGGCAATGTCTTCTATGAGTAGCTCTCTCCTCTTCTTAGGGATAGTAGGTGCTGGAAAAGGAGCGTGGACTTTGGGTTCAAATTTCATCTCCACCATCTATAAATTGGATGACTGAGACAAGGCTCTCCTTTGAGCCTCAGTTTTCTCACCTGTGAAATGGGAATATCATCCTTTACCAGATGGGTGTGAGGATGCGATTAGAGCAGATGCGTCTATCTGACAGGGGAGCCCTTCACTACTATCACTGCCCTCCCAGCTTCTCTGCTGTGCTCTGACCCTTGGGGCTAGAGTTCAGGCCCGTGAATCCTGGATAGTGGTTCTCACACATGTCCATGTGCCAGCCTGCTTTACAGGGCTCATCAGCATGGCCCCAGAGGCTGCAGGAAGCTCAGGCCCCACACAGCTGCCCATGAGGAGCAGGTAACAATGTCAGTTCTTGCCTGTACAGAGAACAGGTGTCTATCATTGAGCAGTTTCTGGACAAGAAATAAACTACAGGAAGCCATCATTACAATTAGATCCTGCTAATGGATTTCTTCCTTTCTTTGTCAGACGTTGCATCATGTGTGGACTCATGCTTGTCTCTGGGGGCAGAGAAAAGAATGGCATCTAGACATGGGGAGACAAGGCTGCTTGAGCAAACATACAACAGGCTGTGCCACCTGCCTCTGCCACAGAGCATGGAGGGCTGCAGGAACCTGTCACCTCATAGGGGACATGACCTGGGGTACGAAGGAGGAGCAGCACTATTCCAGGCAGTCAAGTCAGGGAGAAGAGTGGTCCTGAAAGAAGGAACAGCAAGTGCAACCCCAGGGGCCAGTGAGCAGAGACCTAGGCATGTAGCTCAGGCTGGATCTGAGCATTTCTTACCTGGGTGACTTTGGGGAAGTTGCTCAATCTTTGGCTTCAATGGTAAAACAGGAAGAGAAATGCCCACCTCTTGAAGCTGTGGTGATGATCAAATAGGGTAATGTCTGTGGAGTCCACAGTCCTATAAATGGCAGCTGCTCACAACTCCAGGGCCATTATCATAGGCAGTACGATGAATGGTACCTTTGGGGTTACTTGGTGTGTGTGGGGAGTGGCTGGGAGAGAGAGAAAGGGAGGGAAAGGGAGGGGGGCAGAGAGAGAGAGAAACGGAGACAGGGAGGGAGAGGGAGAGAGAGAGACAGAGAGAAGCATAGTTCCTGGTTGCTGGCCTGCATCTCCGGGCGGGCGGGCGGGTGCTGTTCCCCGGCAAGCGCCTGCGTCCCGGGAAGCCTGAGCGTTCTCTTGGGCGGGTGCGGGCTGCAGCGGCGCGGGAGATAACCCAGAAGGCAGCAGGCAGAAGGCGGACCCGCAGGGCCGCTCCTCTCTTTACGCAGAAAGCGCCTGGACCATCCGCCAGCGTCGGTGAGGCCGGCCAGTAGGGGCCACACTGCACACCCCGCGGGACCTGGGGCAAAGGGGCTGGGCCAGGGTTCGAGGGTCCCGACAAGGAAGCCTCGGGCACTGCCTGCCGCCAGGTGGCTCGGAAGGGGGCTCCGGATGGGCTACCCAGAGCCCGGGCCTCAGAGCCGCACAACTGGGGCTGGCAGGAGCACTCTGCCCTTCGTGTGGACTTTGGCTCCCGCAGCCTCAGCATCTTCACCTGAGACGTGGGTGGCACGCTACCTCACCTGTCAGCTGCAAGTAGACGAGGTAAGGGATGCATGGAAAGTGTCTGGGAACCCCGAGCATTAGGAGAGAGGAGCTGTTTACTGACATTTCAGGAAACAAAGCAGATGTCTCAGTCTCCATTCTTACCTTGTGGGAGATTGATAGTGTTTGCATTATTTGTTAGTTTTTCTCTGAATGATGGAGATGGCAGGCAGCAGGCTGCAGTGGAGGCCTTCCCCCAGGATTGCAGGTGCCCCCACCTTGTCTTGAGAGCTGCCTGGGAACTAAATCCAGAGCTCACAGACATTCCATTCATACTGGTTTTGGCCATGGCAATGTGGTTTTGAAGTGTGTCTGCTTTCCTGGTTGCCAGCACTTCTGGCCTGGGAGGGACATGGCTGTATGTGTCATCTTTGCAGCCCTGTTTGTAGCATGGGGCTTGGCACGTGCCCCCTCAGAGGATGAGCGAATTAACCAGGGGGACTTTCTAGAGTTTTCCCCTTGTGGTAACTCCACCCTGATCATAATGCTCTTGGCCAGTCTGGAACCATTGGTGTAGGTTCCCACCATTGACCCAGCTTTGGCTGATGTTCATCCACAGGCTTGGGTTTTCATCCCATTTGGTGCTCTGACAAAGCAGTGTATTGGCTACAATTTCAGGCACCCATAGATGTTTTTTTTTGACTCAAATACTAGGCCTTACATGTGGCTCTGGTATATTTCATTTCATCATGTTTGGTTCCAAATGGCCCTTCTTACCAGATAATCCTGGTGCTAGAAAAAAACTTCCTACCTATGGGATTTGTTAATCAAAATAACTGCACTGTGAACTGTGGGTGGAATCCATGCTTTGATCTTGTAATGGCCAAAAGGGACTCCTTTTTATAAGGCAGATCAAATGCAAGCTGAGTGACATTTATGATAGCTGACAAATAGATTTTACTGATTTCTGGTTAATTTCACCCATAGTCTGTAATAACTGCTTCTAACTTAGCACTTGGTCATGAAGAACAGATATATGATCACTAATAGACATGACCGTTATATGGGACTTAAAGAATATCTGAAATAAGGTATTCCTCTGTGAACAGTGTTTTATCAAAATGGGTCCTCAGGACCACATTCATCAGAATCACATGGGCTACTTGTTAAAACACAGATTCCTGAGCCCCATCCCAGACTCACTTAAATGCCCCTCCTGGCAATGGACTCTGGAATCTGCACTTTCAATATGCTCCTGGAGTATTTCTGATATTCCCTGAGGCTTGAGAACTGCTTGAGGGATTAACGATGCCTAGGGGATTTATGAGGAAGTTGAGTCACAATGGTATGTGTAATGATATGATAGCTCTCTATCTCAAAACATCTGTCACTGGCATTGCCACTTGGAGGCTCTGGAGTCCATATTTAGCCTTGGCAGAGGGTACCTTGTGTTGAGGAGGCACCAGAGAAAAAGGGACAGGCTGTGCCTGGGCATGGAGATGTGGACCAGGCTGGTGTATTTGGGAACTGAAAACTGTTTCAGGCGGCTTCAGCATAGGTATAGAGGGAGTCCTTAAGGGGAGTAATGAGCATCCCATGACCTTGGACAGGCATGTGTGTACACATGATGGGCAGGAGGAGAGAGCCAGTGTGCTGATGACTCAGTTTTTGCATACCAGGCAGTCTTCAACTTTCCTATATGTCATCTGCAAAACAAGTCTGGTAGGGCAGGTAGTTGCTGAGGCCAGGAGGGTGCTGTGTGTCAGCTGTGAGATTTTGGTTCTATCCTTAAGGGCATGGTATGCCATGGAAGGATCTGAACACACGGTGGCATTGATGCTGTCTTTATGTGGATAAAATGTTATAAGGGGGTTTCTACTTATGTGCCCTGAGTAGTTCTCTCCCTGAACTTTGTATACAATGATGAAACTTTTTTTTTTTTAATCACCAAAGCTTCCTCAAGGCCTGAGGTCAGAGGGAATTTTTGGAACAAGTTTTGGCATCAGACAGACCTGGTTTGAATTTGGGCCCCACAACTTATTAACTGTGTGACTATAGGCAAATTGCTTTACTTCTCTGAGTCTTAGGTACTCTAAGTACCAGCCCTTGGGTCAAAGCAACTATGAACATCTCTACCTGCATCTTGTTCCTCCCTGAATTTCACAAAGAGGCCCAATCCATGAGTACCATTTGTCTCTTTGCTTTGCAGGTGTCATCACTGAATCTCCTGGAATCTTTTCACACGCACCATGAACATCTCTCACTTTCTGTCCTTGCTGCTCCCAGGATCCCCACAGGTTCAAAACAGGAGTAAGTCAAAGGGCATCCTGTACAACTTCTCTGACCACTGCCAGGATTCTGTAGACCTGATATTCTTCATTGTCACCTCCTATAGCATTGAGACCATTGTGGGGGTCCTAGGCAACCTCTGCCTGATATGTGTGACCATTAGGCAGAAGGAGAAGGCCAATGTAACCAACATGCTCATAGCCAACCTTGCTTTCTCTGACTTTCTTATGTGCCTCATCTGCCAGCCACTCACGGCCATCTACACCATCATGGACTACTGGGTCTTTGGCGAGGTCCTTTGCAAGATGTCAGCCTTCATCCAATGTATGTCAGTGACAGTCTCCATTCTCTCACTTGTCCTTGTGGCCCTAGAGAGGCATCAGCTTATCATCAACCCAACAGGCTGGAAGCCCAGTGTCTCCCACGCTTACCTGGGGATTGTAGTCATTTGGCTCATTGCCTGCTTCCTTTCCCTTCCTTTTCTGGCCAACAGTGTCCTGCAGAATGTCTTTCATAAGAACCATTCCAAGGCTCTGGAATTTCTGGCAGATAAGGTGGTCTGTACTGAGTCCTGGCCACTGGACCATCACCGCATCATCTACACCACCTTCCTGCTGCTCTTCCAGTACTGCATCCCACTGGCCTTCATCCTGGTCTGCTATTTGCGCATCTACCAGCGTCTGAGGCAACGGAAGCGGGTGTTCCGCAAGAGCACCTACAGCTCACAGGCTTGGCAGGTGAAGCGGATCAATGGGACCCTTTTGGCAATGGTGGCTGCCTTTGCCCTGCTCTGGCTGCCCCTGCATGTGTTCAATAGCTTGGAGGACTGGTACCATGAGGCCATTCCCATTTGTCATGGCAATCTCATCTTCTTGGTGTGCCACCTGCTTGCCATGGCCTCTGCCTGCGTCAATCCCTTCATCTATGGATTTCTCAACACCAACTTCAAGAAGGAAGTCAAGGTCCTGGTGCTGACTTGCCAGCAGAGCACCCCCATGGAGGAGTCCGAACATCTGCCTCTGTCCACAGTACACACAGAAGTCTCCAAAGGGTCTTTGAGGCTCGTTGGCAGGTCCAACCCAATGTAGCTTCTCCCTGCCATGTTCATTGCCAGGCTCCTTCATTTAGCTAAGTGGGAACTCTGTAAGCTGAGGGTGGTACTTAATCATTACTGGCTTCCTGGGGCTCAGATAGACTGACAAAAGCCAATTTTTGTATCTATTTGCATTGTGAAGCCTGACATTCAGATGGTTCAGCTATTTGTTCCTAGGGAAATTCTGAGTCTAGATTCTTTAGGTTATAGATTGAGTAGATGTCAGAGCCAGAGATTGTCTGCAAGTAGAGGCACAGTTCATTCTGGTAGCTCAGCAATTGGTGCCCATCTTGGGAACCCTGGAGTTTCACATCTACCAATGAGACTGCAAGGTCCCTGTTGGATGAGAGAAGGAGCACGTGGAGTGAGAACTCTGGACCTTGGTCAGCCCCTAACATCTGTGAGAAATAATATTTGTAGATGGCCTTTTTAAGTGTAAAGAATTTTATGGAGCCACGATAGTGGGGTTACTATTACTTGATTAAACACTCAGTGGCAGAGAACAGATCCAGGTAGCCTTGGGTCCTCACACTCCTCTGCAGTAAGCAAATCAACCTTGAGCAGCAGGAAGTCCAGGATTCACATTATACTCCATCCTTTTTCTCTTTCACTATTTCTGCCATCTTGTATGAAAATAAGCCTGTAAGTATCTCCCCTTGATAAGATTGTCAGGACCTTCAAGGTGACATCTGTGTTGTCATAGAGCTGTATCCTCCCTGCCTTGGATAGGAGCTCCAGAAGGCTTTGCTGTGGTAGGCTGATGGAAATGTGTCTGCTTAGCCAAGGACAGGTGCCCTGTGTCATGCTCCAGCATGGGAAATGCTGAGGCAGCTGCAGCCACACTCCATCATCTTCCCTCCCTTGCCTCCCAGTATCTCTCTTGACAAGGCAACTGGCCAGGGACTCTGTGACCCGCCCCAGTGTTGACCCATTGGTGAGGCCTATAGTACTCAAAGCTTTGACTCTAGCCTTCTTCATTTCACACTCTGACCACTCATCTGACTTGCTCTAAGTGATGTGTCATGATTCTTCCACAACCTCCTTACATCTTTGGGCCTCTCAGTGGCCTTCAGTAGTGGATGGGGAAGGGAATTCTTGGAGTCTGCCTTAATGGAGAACTGGCTGAAAGGAATAGGAGGTCCCCTTTCCCCTAGCCAGCCAGGGAAAATAGAGAAAGGGCTATGATAAGTATAAATATGTCACTATGGAGGTCATGGAGCAGTCTTCTGAATGCTGAGCCAGATTCAAGACTTGGTCTGTGTGTGGGCCAGCCAACTTTTTGTTGCAGGGAAGGAAATGTCAAGATTGCTCATGGACTGCTTTGGATGGGATGTCCAGACCTGGCCTATGGGCTCAGACCCACCCACCTTCCAACAGAGTTAACAGTGGCTGGAACCATTATGGCCTCTGAAGACAGGGCACTCAGGTGCCTAGAACCCTCGAGGGGCCTCACTATGAAGCTCCTGGGGCTGGCTCTATACAGGGGATCTAGCAAATGACCAGGCAACAGGAGATTGAACAGCCATATCAGACTGTCTTTCTTGCCTGGCCCCTAACAAAGAACTTGTGCAGCCACACCCAAGACAAGTGCACTTTGAATCATCAGCTCCCTTCCTGGAGCTGTTTGTTTTGTCCCAGAACTCTGGACCTTGGTCAGCCCCTAATATCGGGGCTGAAGCCCTGGGGCAGAAGCCAGGTTTTGGTCTCATCTCCTATTCCTTTGTTCAACTTTATCCTGGTTTCCAGGATAGACTGTTGAGTCACTTTCTTGGACACAGCTTGTGCTTGTCTCCTGGTACCATCTGTGGCTGGCTGCTCCAGGTAACCACCTGCCATCAAAGCCCAGGCCTTGGGGACCCAACCCAGCAAGGTGTCACTGACCAAACTCCCCAAGGAATTTGAGGTCTCAGGACCCGCCACATCATATGAAATTTCCTGGAGTGTGCTCCACATTCCTTCTCTTAGTGGTGTCAGGGTGCTTGAGGACATGGGTGCATTCGGGTACCAGCATGCTTGAGAACTTGGAGACCAAACTATGCATCTGAAGAAGGTGCTGGGCATTAGAAATTTGGGTACTGGGTGGAGGCCTCATTGGCTGTCTTCTGTGCTCTCCTCACCTTGCTTCAGTTGACATGGCCTGCCTAGATGGCTGTCTCCTGCTCCTGGTTCCTAATGACCCTTGGAAATGCCTGGTTACCCAGCACCCAGGGAACTCACTGGGTATCTTCAGGAGATGAGCAGCCTCAGCATCAACTGGAGCTTGTTAGACATGCAGAATCTCTGTTCCCACCCCAGACCTTTGAATCAGAATCTGCACTTTATCAAGATCTTCAAGTTAGTGCTGCACACACTTACATTGGAGAAGCTCTGCTCTAAAAAAACAAATTGGCCTTGGGCCTGGAGCTGCTTGATGAGTGCCTGACAACATCCACTGTGGGATCTGGGGTAGACCTTTAGGAATCCTAGTTCTGGAGATACAGCTTTAAAATGGTATTGTCAAAAAGGTGAATTCAGTTTTGGTTGTTTATCTCTTTTCTCGTCATATGTGGACATATTTTTTCTGAAGTCTTTTCATCCCTTCAGTAAAAATTTGCCAGATGAACAGTTTGCATAGTTATATTCTTATGACCATGCCCCTCTGTATCTGCTCTATTTCACTTTTAACTGCATCATCAAGTTTTTTTGTCCTGCTGGAGATTATTTTTGACAGCTGATTAAGAGTTTAGAAAATGCTTCAGTCAAAGCTTGTTCCTCTGAACAGAATCTCTCTCTCAGAGGGGTCTTCCTTGGCCCAACTAAGGACCTGTTCCTCATGGTAATGAGAAGAGTCATCTTCAGAAGAGCACCATGACTGGAAGTGGAGACTTACACCCACAAAAAGTGCCTAGGAACCCTGAGCAGGTGGAAAGCCTTATCAAATTCTGATGGTTTGAGCTTAAATCTAGTGTAACTCTTGCCTTTCATTTTTCAAGAAATAACTTTGACTTGTTTTTTTAATTAGAAAACTAATCATATTAATTCACAAAAATATGTAAAATATACAAAAATAAAATGAAAAAGGAAATTATGTTCCATCACACAAAGATAATTATTATTTACATTCTATGGAGTCGTTTCTTTATATATATCTAGTGTTAGGTTTTGTTATTTTGTTAACATGGTTTAGATCATACTGTTGAGTGTGTGTATAGTTATATATTACATTTAAGGGTTATTTTATATCTTTTTTTGCTTAACCTTGTAAGAAGTTTATTCATTCATTTAATAAGTTTGTCAGACACATAGTAGGTACTGAGGAGGCAGTAATAGATAAAATAAACACTTTTCTTGTCATCATGGAGCTTATAGTTCAGTGACTAGATCAATCCTGTGTCCTTAATCATCATGTGTTGTGTCATATTTAGATGTTCCTAGACCTATTATGCATATTTCTGTTATGAGCTTCCTTGCAGAGAACTTCTCTACTTGGAATCATTTCATCAGGAGGTCAGAAGTGGAATTACGGGTCAAAGGGCATGGGCATTTTTCAAGGCTTTTGATGTGTGCTGCTAAGCATTCCCAAAAAGGCTAGAATGTTTGCACTCCCTGATTAGTGCCAGTTTCACATACCCTGGCCACTGTTGGGAATTACCTTTAATGAGTAGACCTCCATTGTTCACTGGGTCACATCCCTGCTCATCTACTAATGAAAGTCATTCCTGCATCATCAGTTTTCTGGATTCTCCCTTACATAAAACTCCTCCAAAGGCTTGTCTAACCTTGAAACCTTTGCTTCCCTTCCTTCCAGGCTCTCTTGTACTCACCTGTTCATCTAAATAGCTCTTTTCAAGGTCTCCAGTGACCTCCATGTTTCCAGATCCCATGGTGAATTCTCAGCCTTGTTTTATGTGACCAATTAGCAGCATTTGTTAATCCTTTCTTCTCTAAACTCTTTCTGTTTGTGGTTTTTTCAGAACATCACACTTGTGGTTCCTCCTGCCTTCTTCTCAGTCTCTTTCCTGGACTCTTGTCTCCCTCTCCTTGGATCACTGGCAAGTCCCCCAGGAGCTGTGAAGGCCCATTAGCTCTCATTCCCTAGGTGAGTTTACCCAGTATCCTGGCTTTCAACACAATTGAAGGATTAACTGTCTAATGTTCCCAAATGTGACTCTCCAGTCTGGACTTTCCCCTGCTCTTCAGATTTGTATATCCAGCCACTGCTTTGTGTTTACTGGACATCCAGTCAGCATCTCAAACTTGACAATTTCAAAAGCAGACTCCTTATTTGCTTCTCCATCTCTTCTTTCTCAATCCCTCCTCTTTAATTAAATGGCACTCTCTTTTTTCATCTGCTAGGGCCACAGTCTTTGAGGTCAACCTTCTGTTCATAACCCACATCTAATCTGTCAGTGAGTTCTGTAAACTCTGCCTTCAAACTGTACTCAGAATTACCACTTCTTACCTACCCTGGCTCTGCCACCTGGTCCAAGCCACCTCATCTCTACTGGGATTATTGTAATGACCTCCTTTCTGCTGTCTCAATCAAAGGGACCCTTTGAGGTTTAAGTCAGGTCCTTCCATACCTTTAGTCAAAGCCTATCATGGCTTTCTGACACTCAGAGCAAAATTCACATCCAGAGCTGGGGTTATCTTCCTTTCTCTGACCTCACTTCCTGCCATCCTTTCCCTTGCCCACTTCCTTCAGCAGTGCTGGACTCTCTGCTGTCTCTTGAACACTCTAAGAATGTACCTACCACAGCTCTTTGTACTTCCCACTCTGGCTACTTGAAATGCTACCCCTGCTATGAATATTTTTATTCCCTTGTTCTCTTCACCTTAAGTGAGCCTTTATCAGACAATTATTCCCTTAACCGTGCTATAATAATATATCACCCTCCCCCGCCCCATTCTGCATTTTTACTTTATGACATAGGACTTAGCACTTACATGCTCACACACACTAACTTACCTTCCTGGTGAGTGTCTCAACTGAATGAAGGCAGGGATCTCGTATTT